ATGTCTTTACCTATCATTTGGTATATTTTTTTTGTAAATTCGACCTTTTTTCTGCCCACAGGGGGGGATTTAAAATGACAACTTTTTCACAAAAAATTAACTTTTTCAACTTAACTTTTGAAAATGTTCCGGAAGGTCTGACACTTTTATATATATCTTAAATTAAAGCTAATGTAATGTACTTTAATTTGAAAAAAAAAAATTTGACCTCTGGACTTGTCTTCATGGTGAAAACGGCTACCGAATGCTATTTTTGTGTGAAAATTTTCGATTTTATAATTTACATTTTTTACTTTAAAGTGCTATAACTTTTTAAAAAATGTATGGATCAATACAATTTTTTCATGAGAAGTAGTATTTATATACATCTTTCATTGGATATACTTTTTTTTTAAATCAGACTATTTCCCTATATATGGGGGGGCTTCAAATATAAAAAATGCATATAGAAAGTAGAACTTTTTCAACTTAACTTTTGAAAGTATTTCGGAAGGTCTGACACTTTTATATATATCTTAAATTAAAGCTAATGTAAAATTTATAATTGACCCATTCTAAAATTCTTGTGGGTACTGCCAATTTAAATTATGTAGAATTAGTTTTTTTTTCACTTTTAAATTAAATAATCATACATAAAATTTAAAAATTATTTTTGATATTTATTTAAAATTTTCAAAAAAGTTATGTCCATGGGTAGGGGGTATATTATTTTATTGTTGTATTGAATCTTACTTGTTGAAGTCTTTTAGCAATAAACAAAACATCTTTTGATTGATTATGAAATTTTGAAAAATTAGTATTACTGTAGTTATGAGGAGTAAAATTTGGTTTTTTACTAGAAACTTCAGCAATGTTAGGAGTATCTAAAGATTTAACAACTTTAGTAGATATGTCTGGTTTAGGAGTTTCTTCTTTTACAATAGTAAGATCAATAGACTCTTTTTTTACTTCTTTTACTGGTTTTATCTACAAAAAATATATAATAATTAAATATTTGTAGAATTATAGTAACTAAAGAATATATTTGATTCAAAACTATGAATATGGGTTGAACATGAATTTCCATTCTCTTCATTTTCATTTATCCCTCATATATGGATAAAATGTTAAAATATGAACAAATTCTTAAAATCAATTAAATTTTTTATGTACTACATGACCACTTTAACTCAAGTACAGCAAACTTTTTTTGTTCAAAACAATATTGCTTCATTAATTTACTAATTTATATTGAAAATAGAGAACTAATAAATGTTACATTTAAAGTGAGTGAAACCTTCTGTACATAATGGAAAAAAATTGGGTTCTTTTTATGAGGTGGTAATATGATTGCAAATTTTATGTCATATCAATTACTTCACAATTTCCTGGGAACATAACATTTGCAAAATAATTCTTGAACTAAATCTTATACTGATTTTTTTTTTGAAATTATAGAAATAAAAATAGACTAAAGGGTTTAAAAATTATATTTATTAGCAGCATCAATAGATAAAAAAAATATGTAGTTGACTATTGCAAAATGTTGATAAAATTGATTTATTTCCTTTTTTGCAGCCAATATAAATTATTGTTTTATTTTAAACTTAATCTTAGAAAGATATTTTTATGTATAGTTTATTGAATATTAGAAGAAAATATTATTTCATAGTAAAAACAAGTATATTTGAAAATACAGTTCAAAACAATTTTATTTCTTTTAAAATCTACAATAAAATAAAATTGTATATTTACCTTAGAGATGTTGAACATTATTTTATCTGGACAATCCATTGGTACAGTTTTTTTTATCTCCATCTGATTGTTACTGGCATCTTCAGTATTTTTTTCTTTTTTTAATTTATTGTATGCTTTTTTGTATTCTAATGTTTTCAAATATGAATCATATGGACGTTTAAAAATTATGTTACTCAAACTTTTAGATGTTTTTGAATTTTTAATAATATCCTAAAAAACCATGCATTGTGTCAAATCTTAATTCACTAATTTTATAATAAGATATTTCATTATTTATTTGTTTTTAATAAAAAAATAAAAATAGTACATCAAAGAAAAAACAAACGATCACTTATTTATTTTTAATAATTATTTCCTATCTAAAATCAAGCATCCAATAAAATTCAAGAAACATGAAATTTCTCTTTCAAATATTCTAAGTTTAGATAAAAGCACGAGTGCTTTATAGTATTTGTAATATATGGCCAAGCTATGAAAGCATTATTGATGCTACACACATTACAAGTAAATTAGTGACTATTTTCAAAATTATAAATTTGAGGATGGAACAACTTAATCAAAATTCTAAGTATACATTTTCAAGCGCTATTTTTTTTATAAAAGAATTAAGGCTTTTAAGGAGTTTAAAGATAAGTAAATTTTTTTTACACTAAAAAATCTTGTATATAATAATTATATTATTACTTGAAATACTCTTATATCTTGAGCGAAAATAAAGTCATCATTGCAATCAGAATAATTATAGAAATCTTTGTCTTCTAATAATGTAGGCAAAATACCAGAAAATGTTTTGTCAGCTTTTGAATAATCATGTAAGCTTATTAAGTCAATATCTTCATGTTTTATAACATTTTGATAATTATTAAGATTTTCTTCACATTTTTTAACCTAAAAAAATATGTATTATAAATATTAATAGTAAAACTAAAATATAACATATCTGAAAATAATAAAAAGTAACACTAACATTTTCAAATGATTGTTCTCTAGCTTTTTTAATTATATGATGAATTTCATGTAAGCATTGTCTAACTAATGGTGGTATTGGAGAGCAACAAGCCAATATACCAGAAAATTCTTTTGGCAATGTTTCTGATATTTTTATCAACATGTGATTTGGTAGCACATATCTAAATTTAACGAAATTTAATTAACTATAAAAAACACATTTATTTAATATATATAGATATAATATGGGCCAGTAGTAGTAACTCAGCAGTGCCTCATGCAAAATGTTACTGGTTTATGGTGAATGAAACTTATCAACAGACAGCTCCATCTGTTGAATGGAAGATCTGTTTAGTAATTGGAGTCACCATCCAAGAAGTGTTAAGGATTAAGAAAATTCCTATATGGTGAAGGTAAAAATGCCCTTGATTGGCAGTAGAAATAGAAAAAAAAAAGTAAATTAAGTATACTACCCAGGACTTTCATCTAATTCTCTTGCAATTTTATCGCGCCATGAAAATAATGATTTTAAGGCAAACATTTGCTGTAAGTCAAATAACTTTTTGCTTCTTTTATACATACTCATGTGGCTTTCATTATTTAGAATATTTATTTCATATCTCTAGAAACATGTAAATTAATAAGTTTATACATTACAAAAATAATTTTGTTAAATAAATTATGGTATGTTTTTAATGAAAATAAATAAACAAAAAAATAATAATAATAAATTTATAATAGCTTTTATTATTATTTTTGTTTAATTATATATATGTTATTTCATAAATGGTACTAAGAAAATTTATTTTTCCCCATCAATTATGAAAATTTTACCATTTTACAGACATCAGTACTTCTTTGAAATACTATTTCAACATAATTATTTTGTTTAGTAGACATGGCCATTAAATCTTTTTTCATCATATCATATATATATAACAAGTAATGAGTATCACACCGTGCATAGCGTTTAGCATCTTCTGACAGAGGTCTAATAATAATAATTTTTAAAATTAAGAAATAAATCAACAATGTATAAAAATTATTTTACCTAGTTCTCCAGTCATATAACTGAAATGATTTATCTGCGTTCACATTGCAATATTTGCTTAATAAGAATTCTAATCCTTTTCGTACAAAATTTAATATTTTACAAGCTTGATATGTGTCAAACATATTGATTACATATAGGCCAAGATCTCTTTGTAACCATACAATATCACTATCTGCTCCATGGAACACCTATTTTATAATCATATGTTAAATAATAATAATTAGGAAAATTTTATCACATGATAATAAGTTCATATTTACCTTAACCACATTAGGATTGGTAAAAATTTCATTTAATACTTGTAATTTATCTCTTAGTTCCAGTGTATCTATTAAATAATCAGTATTTCTTGTTGATATTTGCATTAAACATGTAAACCCTTGATATGTTCGATAATTATGAGCCTAAATACCATAAGTCATTGATTGGTAACAATGGTAAACAGATAAGGTTCATCATTTTTTATTATAAAATTACTAATAATTAACTTTAAGTGGAAAAAAACTGAAAAACTTAATGAGATTTTTAATAATATATTAAAACTTCTCTAAAAAAAAGATGACTATATATTCTAGAACTGTGGGATTCTTTTTATATCCAAATACAACCTACATATTTTAACTGTTTGTTATATATCACTTGATAAAATTAAGGAGAATTCTAAGGAGTAAGTTAAAAGTATATTCCCTTCTTAATGAAAATCTATTTTGAAGAAGGTAATAAAAACTTTTTTAAATACAAGTGAAGAACTCATAAAAAATGTTGAGTACATTACTGTAGCTAATAACTTTATTTTACCTAAAATCAAAAATATATACTTTGTATAGTCTTTAATTGTAAAACAACAAATTAATAAATATATTTGATTGTATATGAACATAATATTTCATTTTACTAATAATTTTAAGTTTGTTAATAAAGAAACATTAACTTTGTGGATCACCCATAAGCTTTTTATGTATTATCTAGTGGTACGCATACCATATATTGAAAAACACTGATCTAGAAAAAAAACATTTAAGATAATTTCCTGATTATTTAATTAAATTTTTATTCTCCAAAATGGATGACCTAAATCCTAAATTTTAATTTTTTTTTAAACTATAACATTTTGTAAGTTTTACATATAAGTTTTAGAAAATATTTACTATATATTAATATAGCTAAAGTTACTATCAACAATTTTGCGTATGATTTAAAAAAATTATCATATTTTTTATTCTTAAATTTATATTCTTACGGTCAAGGTAGAAAAAATTAGTAGTGTAATACAGATAGTTGGTTTATAATATTTCAAAAGTTATTAACAATTTAAAGTAATGACTGGAAGTGGGTGCTGTTATTTGTATTACTAGTCTTATCCTGCCTAGGTATAAAAATGTGAATAACATTCAAAGTACTGGTCTTAAAGTTGTTATCGACCAGTCATTTTTTTAATAAGATTATTTTCTATTTTATAAGCAATTTAAATATGTATGTTGCCATTTGAAAAATTTTGTTAAAACCCTTTAAGTTATGAGGGATGATTTTAAAAAGTCATCATTAGCTAATAAATTAAGAAATATATGTAGCTAAAAGAAATCAAAATTTTTTTTTTCCGATATTTTGTGCCAGTATTCGAGTGACTTATGATTTTCAGTTGTCATTGTGATTATTGTCAGTGTTGGTGCTTCCGTATTGTAATGTGTTGTTGTAAAAATGGAATATAAGTTTAACAAACAATTACATATGATATTAGCCATCAAAAAATCTAATAATACGTATTTAAGCAAACCAAAATACGACAAACTTATAAAACATGTAAAAGGTATTAAGTAAAAAAAAAAAAAAAAAAAAAAAACTAAGTAAAATTATAAAGTAGAGCGATGCTTAAAGTTTCATTTCAATGAAAAACTGTATTTATCACCATGGTAATAAATGTTCTCCATATAAAGCTATAGCTAAAGTAGGTTTGTATAATAGCATCTTTCAACACATATACTATATAAATTGAAAATTAAAGATTTAGAAGTCGCATTGAATACTATAAAAGAGAAGTAGTAAGAAGATGAAAAAAATATAGAAGATGCATCAGAAGAAAAAGGAGATTTAGACTCTAGAAAACTTTCTTTATATAAAAATAGAACTCAAGCTATTCAAAATAAATAATAGTAAATATAATTATTAACTAACAAAAATAAGTTTTGCTATTCATTATAATTTTTTTTAAATATTACTAGGCCCATTTTATTTAATTCCACGTGGTATTCAAAAAATGGACATTGTACACATTGTCTGGACATTCTATTATAATAACCATTTTCCACCTTGACTGTAATATATATAAATATTAATATAAAAATATTTTAAATTTTATCATCATAAAATATTATTGTTGATTAGATAAGATTCTCATTTGTTTTGCAAAAAAACAATATTTATGCTTACCTTTAATATTTAAAGAAAATTGTAGAACTATATTAAGATTTTAAAAATAAACTAATGAAATCAAAGTACTTACTTCAAGATCTATAGCCAATTCTTTAGCATCATTTAATTCTGAAACCATCATATTTAATTGATCTTCATTGGATATTTCGACTAGTTTTGTATTATCTAATGATTCTGGCTGTACAGCTTTTTTAACTTTTAAATGTTCATCGGGTACTTTAAATGTCTCTAACTCAGTTTCATATGGATGTTTATAGCTATAAATAATTAAAATCTTACAAACAAGTATTTAAAAATATATTTAAGACACAAATAAATTTTTTTGGTAATTCAATTTTTATATTAATTATAAAATATTGTATGGTGAAGTTTAGATTTGGTTAAGTTGTTAGATAGTATCTATGATACCATCTATTAAATACTAAAATTTTGTTAACAAAAAAAAAAGTAACTCGAGAAAAATTACTTTTTTAACCATAAACTATGATATATGGGGGATAATATCAATTTGTTTACTTTCTGTATAAATTATGTCTGTATGATTATTATATACTTAGTTTCTCAAAAAAAAAAAAACAGCATCACTGCACAAGATTGCGGGCATCTAAAATTTTACTTAAGATCTTATATTGTATTATTATAGAATTTTAGAATTAAATAAAAACATTTAAAATGCAAAGAAATGTATACATTACTTTTATTTAAAATATCATGAACAAAGGTAATGTAACATTGACATAAAATAAACTAAAAATAGTTATCAGGGATTAATTTTTTTAGTATAGTAGTGGGGAATAATTAAAAGTTTATTGCATACACCAATTTTTAAAACATAATTTTAATTTTGTCTATACTTCAAATTTTTTAAATAAATTGGTAGATTATTAAAAATGAAAATAAAGGTAAGATGCCAGGGTGCTATTATTTTAATCACACAACATTTTCTGGTCTCATTACTCACTCTTCCTTTCGTCTAATTATAAAAATGTTAATAATTTCTGAAATAATGGTTTGAAAGTTGTTATTGATATGTAATTTTTATATAGATCATTTTCCATTATCTAAACTAGTTAAACATAAATGTTTTTATTTAAAAAAGTAAAGTTTACACTCATATGAAGTATAAAGGATGAACATAAAAATTATTTTATAACAGAATAATGATAAATAAATAACAATTTTTCAGGCAAATGAAAAGAAAAATACTTACAACATAACACCTTCTTCATTTGTTTCTAAACATAAATTAAGTGGTGTTATACTATTTGGTTTATGTTTTAGTAAAGGTTTAAATGGAACTGGCCGATTGTCAACTTTGACTTTAAATTTTGCTTGAGGCCTTTCTACAATACGCCCATGAACCAAAACTTTTTTTTTTATTTGAGCCTTTTCTTCAGGATTCTCACTTAATAAACGTTTAGGGGTCATTAACATCTCATCATGTTTAAATGAACCATTCAAAGAATCAATATTGAATGCCTTAAAATAATCAACTCATTACTATATTTTAAACATAATTACAGCAAAATAAGTTAAGAATTATATTCATATTCTTTATAAATTTCAATAATAATACATTTTAATTAATTTGGAATTTTTTTTGTTATACATGTTTAACAAAAAATTAAATAATACTTTACAATACACAAAATAAATATATAATAAAAATTGATCACTAGTGATCAATTTTATATATTATAACATTAAATAAATACTCTTTAGTAAAATCATTTGAAATTTTACATTTAAAATTCATAAACCAGTATATTTAAGTATTTGCTCGAACAATAGAAGATCTATAGCATATTCCTATTATTACTATTTAATTTAGATTATTTTAGTCAGAGGCCAAGAATAACTCTTTCAGACATAGGATTTATAAAATTGAGCCACTGCCATTACATTCATTCCCTTACTATGCTTTCAAAATTATTTATTTGTAAAAAAATGTTAGAAAAAAGAAAGTTTACTTCTTAAAATAAAAATAAAAATTTATTATTTTATTTAAGCTAGGTAATAAATAAATTAAAGTTGATTAAAATAAAACAAGATAGGGAATTCCCCATTATTTTAGTAAGAAGTTCTAATTCATATATTATTTATTTTATTCTATTACTAAAAATAAAACATTAAATAAAACAAATAAAATACTAAAAAAAAAAACTGATCACTAAAATATTATGGAAAAGAATAATACATTGAACAAAAAATCAATACAAATTGATGGATGCACTGCAAAAAGATTTCAGCTTCATATTCTCTTAAAATTAGAAAATTTGGAGCAAAAGTCTTTTGCAGTAAACTCTTCAATTAACAATTAAGCTGAAATTAGTTTAAATTATTTTAAGGTACAGTGTATAAAGTGTAATAAAATTAAAATTATTAATTATTACCACTCTGTCTAATATTGTATCATTGCCCTCTTCAATTAACTGAAATTGACCTTCATGATCACTACTCCTTATATTTCCTTGAATTCTTTGATTTTTTAGCAAGGCTGATATTCTAAAAAAATATTTTTCATATATTAGTGTATTCTAAAATAACACAGTATATATCAAATTCAATGTTGTATCAACTCAAAAATAAAGAACCTAGTAAAATCAACACTAGGATTAGCTACAATCACTATAACAGTGGTGTAGCCAAGGGGATTAAAATGGCTATAGCTCCCCATTAGTCAATTATTAGTATTATTAGTATACAGCATATGACTAAAGAGCTAGTAAGAGTATGTAAGCAAAAAAAAAAGATATTTAGTCCTGTTCTCAAGCAAAAATTCTAGTGATGTCACTGCACTATAATATGATATCTAACAGTTATTAAAATTTCTATTATAAAACATTTTAATACAAGTGTTTGATAGTAATAATTTTTTTTTGGAGGAAGAGTAGTTAATACATGGAGTTGAGTCCTATTAAATTTTTAATTAAAAAAATATATATATTTTAAATGGATTGGTATGTGAAAAAATCAAATTTGAAAACAATAATTTTTTAAATAATTTTATCATTTTATAGCATATATCATTATCATTCTTGAAATAAATGTTGAAAAATAGACAATAATTTATTGGTTAAACTACATTCTTTATAATTTAAGTGTATTCAGATTTAAACTAGTCAATAAAATTAAAATATTAAGTAATTATCAAACTTACAACTTTAGAATATATGTTTGTCGAGCAGATATTGTTTTCATATATTTGGGATAGCTAGTGTAAAAATTCCAATTAACTCCAGATGGTAAATTATTGGAAGCTTTAATACCTTCAATAATAGTCTTAAAATCACTCTACAATGTTAAACAGACTTAATTAATATAATAAAAATTAACTTTGTACTGTTAATTTAATAATGTAAATAAAATACAACGTTTTTCTTAATATATCAATATTTAAATAATACAATATTTATAGATTTAATTTTAGTATTTAAACAAAAAAAAGTAGAAGTTTAAGTCTAATTATATTTAAAATGGGTTTTAAATCGAACACATTTTTAAATTTGCTAAAGAAAATAAATATAACTAATTTTTTGTCATACCATGTTAATGTAATTTTAAAAATTAATTTAACTCGAAATAAAAAAAAAAAGTTAATGCTTTGTTCGTCAAAGCAAAATTAATTTGAAATTGTATATTCAAGTGCGTTAAAAACATGCAAAACTCATTCACAGATATATCTGAGAATTCACTAAATTGATAATATTATAACCATACATATGTAGTGATAAAATTTCACAACAACCAGGTGGATTTATTCCATATATATAGATAATAATAATATACATATATGATAATATGTTAATTACCAAATATGAAGTAATGATTACTTTAATAACTATTATTTTTTGTGACTTGCTTCTGCAATTTAAAATTAAATAAAAAATAAATTTAACATTTAAAATATATTAATTGAGTTATAATATGATAAATTAAAAATTTCTTTGCAAAATTTTACCATATATTTATTAATTTATTATTAACTAACTTAATTTATTAATTAAGTTAGCTTATTAATATTGTCAATTATTAAGTAAACTATAATGTCCCTTTGAATGTTTTTTCTAATAATTAATGTATTATCTATAGAAAACACGACAATTCGATTATCTAAAATTTCTCTCTCAAATTAAAGTTTTATTGTTGGATAAATAATTACTTAAAAACTACCAAGCATTATTTATTTATTATAAAAGATAATTTTCCAGACTAATTTATCCATTAATTTAAAATATACTTTTTCATTTAAACTTCAATTGTGACTTACACTTTTTTATAAAATTTTTGGCATATAGTACAGTTTAAATTTTGACATTAATAAAATGCTGTTTCATCTTTCTCTCCCATAATCGGTGAAAGTATCTTCAAAACATTATTTGTAATTATCAAATGAAGATCTTTTGATAATTAAAAATCTAACACCCTCATTTATTAAATTATTATATCATAGCTTTTATTCCGTGTCTGTCTTTATAATTTCTGACAATTAAAAATCCATACAATTATTAAAAGGAATGTCTTGAAATTTTTGTTAAATCTAACTTATTAACATAAACCTTTCTTTTCTATTCATTACTTGCTTTTACAAGCGCTAGTCATATACTGTATATAATCATAGTTGGTTAGTGGGGAAGGAGCTATTGCTCTGCCAGCATTACTATTTGCAACTACATACATTCATTAAATATTTTTCAATATGATCATTTTAATGTCTAATATATCTCTATTTTCTCAGTCTTGTTTTCGACTTTTATATAAGCTTATTTACTATCACAACTCAGAATATTTATATAATTTATTTTAATTTTTTGAACTATTTAATTATAAATAATTCACAATAAGCGTAGGGTGGCTAATTTTTTTTATAGCGAAGCTAAATTATTCCCTTTTTTAAACATTTTTTTATACAATACATATTTTTTCAAATGTCAATATTTTTAATGATTCAAGTGGTTAGATTCAGGGGTATATTTAATTTTACTCTTTAGGAATATACATTTCAGGAATTATATAAACTCGTAATGAAATACAATAAATACTGCTTAAACTAATATAATACGGTTGATGAGACTAGGGTACTTCCTTTGTGGTCTCTAGTTTGAGTATGTATTAATTTAAAGAACATTATTTAAAAGAAAAAAATTAAAAATATTCTTTATTTAAATAATGGATGGCAACGATTATGCAAATCAATATGTAATTATATATAAGGACAATTTAACAAAATCGACAGTTGTCCACTCCTAAAAACAATTTTAATCGTTATGGATGTAATTTATTAGGTCGTAGACAAAACAAAATATCAGTTTATTTTCCATATTATTGCTATATAATATAATTATGATTATAAACACTAGCTACCAGCTGACCCGCTAATCTTTGTATAAAAAAAATTGCCTGATAACATAATATTACCCAATCATTATTCTTTTTAATGTTAAGGTTTTAGTGTTGAGTCTTTCTCGATACTTACGTTCTTTAGTAGTCATTTTGCATTTCGAACTATTCAATCGAGGTGTATTTAGTTTTTTTTGTGAGTACCCACTGTTGTTTGTTTGTTTAACTTACTAAAGTTCTGAGATTTTACAATTACTTTAATTCATTATCGAAATAAATTGCTTGACGTCACTAATTATTGGACTTACCCAAAAAATATAACATTTTACTTTTAATTACTCATATATTTATTCCGGTATTGAAACTATTTACGTTAAATTTTGTTTGTATTAATAATTGCAAAATTGATTTTAAAATTAAAATTGCTGTTATTTTACAAGATTATTTATATAAAACTATTTCTTTTATTAAAAATGATTATTAAAAAAATACTAATGGAATTGCTTCAATTTTAAACTAAGAGAATTACACATTGTTATTATTGTTTCACTTTAGAATAGTATAATGGCTTCAGCTATAAATAGAGTTGGTTTTCGGTTTACTGGTAAAAGTCGTGGTACAACAAAATTATGGAATACTTTTGGGTGGATTAGAAGTACACAAGTATCTAAAAATTATTTTACATATAGCCCTCAAGTGTCTCAAGTATTAGATCGAGAACCTAAGTGGGTTTCAGCTGATGAAGCTGTCCAATGTATCAAGTCTGGTAATAATTTTGCTGTTTTATGTTCCATAAAAAATTCAATAATTGCATATATTATTATCAAGTTTAATCTAAAAACTCAATACTCTGACTAATTAATTCAAATTTGTAATTAACATAATATGCTTAATATTATTAGTTTTAGTAACAAAAAACAATAGAATTTGATATTATTGAAGAAGTTCTAAAACTAATTAATAGATTTTTTTTTCTTTAAAAACCAATAAAATATTTCTTAAATATCATAATTTTTAAAATGCAACATTTTTCATAACTTTTAATATTAAAAAAAGAGTAATTTAATTTTATACACAATCTACAAAATTGATTATTATTTAAGTCAAATTAAAAATTAAAATGGTATCTGTAACTTGTCACAGTTCTTAAAAATCCTTATTTCTTTTATCTATTATTATTTATTAAGAATGTCCTTTGTACTATAAAAAAATTGTAGGGATAATATTATTCTTTAATAAAATGTATCTAAAATAAAATCAGCTTACTGATATTTTAATAAAGATTAAGTTGTTCAGAAGAAATAATCATAATCATTATAATTGGAAAAACTAAAATAATAATTATTAGATTTGAATTAAAATGTTTCTTATCTAATTTATTTCTTACAGTTTTTTATATAAGTTTTTTTTTTGTAATTTTAGGTGATACTGTTTTTGTTGGAGGGGCAGCTTCAACACCAATAGAAGTTTTACGCAGTATGGCTGATTATGGAAAACAAAAAAAATTAAAAAATGTTCGTGTATGTAGTATGCATACAGAATTTGAATCTCCTTACTCAGAACCTGAATGTGAAGGTTTGGATGCAATAAATAAATATAATTATATATATATGCAACTAAATAATGATATATCAATATTTTTTTTAATATTCAAACAAAACAAAAGTTACAATATAACTAATATTGAATTATGAAAAAAAATTGTTTAGGAATCTTTAGACCAACAGCTTTTTTTATTAGTGCCAATCTTAGAAAATGCATAAATGAAGGTCGTGGAGATGCTATTCCATTGATGTTACATGATATACCATATTTATTTGAACGTAAACTCATTCCTGTTGATGTGTCAATAATAACAGTAAGTTCTTTATATTAAAATTTAGTTTATTGTAATATTATTGAAAGAAGGATAATTTAAATTATAATATAAAATTTTTTACTATATTAAACTTTCAAGTTGAGTATTATTAATTTATTATATTACACTTTGAATTTTTTGATTAGTATACATCAAATAATTAAATAAACATATAAGTTTATATATATATTTAAATTTATGTACACTTTTTATGAGCTAGATTAATTTATTACGAGTAAGTTATGTTCAAAGGTTAAATTATATAAGACAATTGTTTTTTTACATTTGTTATTATTTACAATTTTTATCATTGTATTAGGTTGTGATTAAAAATAAAAATAATAAAAATTTCAAATAAGTAGACGAATGCAGTTTATTTTAGTTACTAGACATTTCCTGGCTTCACTACTCCTATAGCCTAGGTGTAAAAATGTTGATAACTTCCGAAATACTGGTCGAATAGTTGTTATTAATTTGTCATTATCTTAATAAGATAATAATATTTTCTATTTTATTAGCTTATTAAATATGTATGCTGCTATTAGAAAAACTAAAGTAGACACTCTTATTATGTATAAGGGATATAAATGAAATATACTTTGTAATTGATAAATTGAAAAAAACATTTTGTTTATGAAGTATTCAATAATAAAAAAATTATCTTGCATATTTTTATAGAAAAAAATTAAAAAAATTTTTTTTTTATTTACACCTAGGTAGTAGTACTAATAAAAAATATACATTATTTAATCTACTATTTTTGACTTGTATTAGGTTTCTCCACCAGATAATCATGGTTTTTGCAGTCTTGGAACTAGTGTAGATTGTATACGGTCTGCTTTAAGTCATTCTAAAGTTATAATAGGTAATCTAAAATTGAATTTTAATTATATTAAATAATTTCATAGAGTATACCCTATGTATTATTATTAGCTCAAGTTAACAAATATATGCCACGTACATTTGGTGAAGCTATTATTCATCAGTCACACATAGATTTTGCAGTTAAACATGACCGTGAATTACCATCTCATGGTGATAAAGAACCGACTCCTACGGAATCAGCCATTGGAAAACATATTGCTGAAAATCTAGTTGAAGATGGAGCTACTTTACAAATGGGTATTGGTGCTATTCCAGATGCTACACTCAGCTGTCTCAAAGATCATAAAGACTTAGGGATTCATTCAGAAATGTTTAGTATTGGTGTTATAGATCTAGTTAGATCTGGAGTAGTAACGAATCAAAATAAAAAATTAGACCGTGGACTTATTGTTTCAAGCTTTTTAGTAGGAAATAAAAAGTTATATGATTTTGTGGATAACAATCCATTAATTTGTAAGTATTTTAATAGCTATATTAGAAAAATTATTTTATTATTAGCAACAGTGTAAAGATTTAAAATGACTGTACAGCTCAGTTAAGAACATAACGTGCCTTGGAGCACAGGTATTGAGGTTAATCAGGAATTTAGATTTTAGGGTATTTTTCGCCCTTCTAGGCAGTGTTATAAAAAACATGTTAATTTTTTTTAGAAACCTGTTTAAAATATAAGTAAAAAATTTAAAACATCCCATAAGATTCATGTAAATTTTTGATATTTTAAACAAAATTAAAATGTAACAACCCTGCTTTTAGGACAAAAAATGTTTCTATGGTTTATGACAAATTATCACAAAATGTAAGTGAATATATAATTTATGAATGCTGAAAATCTTAAGTCCTGATAATAATAATGAATTAACTCATTAAACTAATCATTTATTTAATTTCCTGAAATTTGATATTTGTTGAATAATCATGCATGTAAATTTACATATTAAAAATGGATACACAATAAGTCATTAAAAAATGCTGCAGAAAATTGTGATTAAATATTATTTTGTTAAATTTAGGTATGAGACAAGTATCATATACAAATAATGTGCATGTGATATCACAACAACCTAAAATGACAGCAATTAACTCTTGTATTGAAGTTGACTTGACTGGACAAGTTGTATCAGGATCTATTGGGAAAAGATTATACTCGGGTAATTAATCTATATACTAAAATTATTATATTTAAAATAAAAATGTAAAAAATAAATTTTTAGGATATGGAGGTCAAGTTGATTTTATTAGAGGATCTGCTGAAGGTTTTGATGGTAAAGGAAAGCCGATTATTGCTCTTGGCTCTACTAACCCAAAAACTAAAGATGAACGAGGTGTCCCATCTAGTAAAATTGTTCCACTTATTAAAGAAGGTAATTGAATTTAAAGTAATTACTTATTTTAAAATTAAAATTTATTTTCTACTAAGTTGTATTTAAACTATTTTAATTTACTGTCAACTTATAACCTTTCATAAGAATACAGTGTGTGTTACTTTGTTTTTAGCATTTATATTATGTTCAAGTAAACTTTTATGCAAGTTCTTGTATATTTAAAAAAGAATTATATAAAATTAAATTTTATAGAAATGTCAAATATCACAAATTTTGATATATGCAATCTAAGTGGGACCTAAAATTATAATATTGTGCACTTGAATCAATTAATAAACAATACTTAAAATAACAATTTGATAGTTGACAAAACTGAGGACAGTGAAAAGACACATACATTTGTGATAGAACATTTTCTTTTATAATTCCTCATTATTATTAATAATTATAATAAATTATTAATAAAATAAATATAATCATTATTAATAATCAATAGTAAACAATAAGTTACAAAAGTATATAAAAGACAAAATTCCATGATATTCTATAAATTGAGATATGATATATTTAGCGGCAATTAATTGACGTAACATCATTATATTTAAGTTCAATTTATAACTCAATTGGACATTAATTATTTTTTAGGTGCTACTGTTGTAACAACTAGTGCACATGTTCATTATGTTGTAACTGAATTTGGAGTTGCTTCGTTGTTTGGAAAAAGTCTGAGGCAACGAGCTCATGCACTAATAAATATTGCTCACCCTGAACACAGGGAATGGTTAGAAAAAGCAGCATTTGAACGTTTAAAAACAATGCCTTGTGCATAATCAACTAATGTTAAAAATATGGTTTTTGTGCCTGTAAGAATTTGTTAATTTTTTTAGAGGCAACTTTTAAATTTTTATCTTGTAAAATTATATAATTTATTGGTCTATGGGATATTTACTTATAAAAAACTCTAATTAATAAAGCAAAAATGTAATACTTATAGGTATGATACAAGTATAAATATAATGTATAAGTGTATTTGGTGTGTATATATTAATAAATATTAAATAACACAATAAGTGTTTATGATAAACTTTGTGTCATAATATATAGTTTAGTTATGGATAATGGAATTTTTATTTTATATAAATATATTGCATTTGTACTGAAATTATAAATTATACTAAAAAGAAATCTGTAAAATCTGTTTGTATAAAGATTTATTAAAGCATTTAATCATTTTGTGTACAAAGAGAATTTAATTATTTAAAATCTTAATTTGGCTTGTCAAATTTACGATAATTTAACCCAAAATTTATTTTCGTTTTCAGAAAAAACAATAATTATTGGCTATGAAATCCCTTCAAGTTTATTTTAAATTATTACCAAACAGATTCAGTACTATGTTAAGGATAAATAAATTAATGTATTATAATTTATGAATTCCCATTAATGCCACAACTAGATTAAAAGAATGACAATATTTCTGTTTACTATTTCATTAACTTTAATGACACTTCTTCGGGAATTTACTTTTTTAAATGTTTATAATTATAATACTTGAAAAATAACTTTTTATCTAGACTTAATTAATATGGAGTTTATTAAGCCTATAGCATATTTTCTTCCTTATTTTCCAAAAAAATATTTGATGTACCCCAGCTTGGTAGGGTCAAAGTGAAGTCTTCGAAAAAAAGATAAGAATAAAACTAAAAAGTTAAATAACCACTATTTCGATTGGGTTAAAGATTGCAGTGAATTTTTTAAATTATTTGAAAAGGCGACATATGTTTTAATGGACAGTAACATCCCCTTAGGAATAAAATACTTAATAATAATCTACTTGTAAAATTGGTATTTATTATTTGATAAAAAAAAAATTTAGTACATTTTTTTAATGTAATATAAAGTATTTTTAGAATAAATACTTATTGTAAAATACGAAATAATACATCAATGAGAACTTATTTTGTAATAAAAGCCAGTACAAATGAATTCTTAAAAAATGGTAGCACAGTGGGGTCGCGTCACAGTGTGAACGTAGCATAGTTGGGACTAGTATAGATGATAACTGACAGTGATTAAAATCACTATCATAAGAAACGCTTCAATGCAAATCTGTCGATAGTGTTTAATTTTAAGAAATTGGTGTATTATTGAAAAGCAAATTCTAACTCAAAAAGAATTGTCTAGAATTGCCACGGGGAATGATTTTTATTGAATCGGCAAATGTTTGTCGCATTCGTTTTTTAAAAAAATTGGCAATTTAAGCTGATTCAAATGTTAAAATTAATTCTTTCACAGACACAAAAAATAAATAAAAAAATATACACATCATGATAAAAATTAATATCTTCTCAGCTTCGTATCGAAGCTAAAACAAGAAATTTACATTTTTTTCTTGCAATTTTATCTTATATAAAATTTTTTGAAAATTATTTTTCTTTAATTTAAAGAACATACTATAGTTTGTTAATTTAAGTACTACGAATACTATCTTTAGTTTAAATAAGATTACATTGTTGATGATCAATGAAAAAAAAAAGTACAATGGTTTTTCGTTCAAGGCGTGGTTGTTCTGGCGGTCTGTTCACGAACCTTTGAGTTTGTAATGGTTAAGAGAATACATATTGACCCTTTGAAGATATGACCACAATTTTGTATTCTTCAAGCATCTGTCACTAGCACCTGATACTTGACACTGCTCGGTCATTAGTCAGTCAATTGACCGGTCAAGCCTTTCCAGGACCACCCTCTGGCACGCAGATGGTTACCGATGGTCAGTGTATTTCAAAAATGTGTTGTCTGTTACTTCATTATATATGAAGAAGAAAATCAGCAGCCGTGTTCTCAGCATGACTCTATTTCGTGTATCGCAAATCGGAAAACTTTCAAACAAGAAAATTCTCACCTGGTCTCGTTGTAGCACTCGGCCATCGATAATCTGTTCTTATTTTGCTTATTTTCCTGACAATACAATAAAGGGCACGAGCGCTTATTCATTTATAAAACGGTGACCAGCCAGCAGCACAAGTCGCCAAACAAACAATTTTTTTCGCACTAACATTTTGTCAACATGTCTATTATATTATTGGTAGCAATTTCAATGGTCACCACTTCTTGACGAACAACTGGAATACATGAGCTAGGCAGGCAAATCTGTCGCGGCCTGTTGAAGTAATACATAATTATAACAAAAAGTGTAGACACTCTTTTGAGTGGACACAACAATTGTGTTGATAACGGAACCGCAGGCCATCTAAGTAAAGGTGTTAACTGTACCATTTTTATACTATTCTATTGAAGTTTAATGACGAATTTTCAAAGTTAAACCGTAAATAAAAATACTATATGCTAAATGAAAGCCGTATTTATGATTCTTTCTAAAATCGTAAATTTGTTTTAAATGTTTTTCATTCTTTATGACAAAATATAAATCAAATGACTTAACCTTATTTTAAGCCTTTGCTATAGTAACTACTTCTACCTTGGTGTATTTAGGAGTAAGTAGGATCTAGTGAGAGGTGAGAGGGTGCTACAGTACCTCTCGAGGTGTAAATTGTAATAAAAAATCAGCTGTGAGCAAAAAACAAGACCAACAGGTCAAAAAACTCTATTATTGTCTGAATAAAATAATTTTTTCTTAGCACTCCCCGCAGAAAAATTCTATATCCGCCCCAAAGATATTACCTAGTATTAACTTTGTCTTTAAAACAATGACCTTTGGTAAATAGGTTAAATTTAAGTATATCAAATTTCTTTATTCAGAATATTAAATATTTGGATAAAACTTTTGTTAATTTATTTTTTGCTCTGGTATAGAATTGAATTTTACAAACCTCCATAAAAATAACATAGCTATTTTGAATTGGATTTTATAAACCTAAAATGTTGAATAATAAACTACAACTTAGAAATAAAAACTGAAAATTGAATTTTTTTGAGTTGTTGCAGTTTTGAACTGAGGCGTATAATGTTATTTAAGTTATTGGTGTGGACAAAATGGATTTTAAAGTAAAAAAATGTACTAAGTTTAAATCTAAGATAAGTCATGGACACAACGGTAAACTCGTTCAAATACATTATATGTTTATGAACAAGAACATGCATTTAGATAACGGTTTTGATAATGGTATAGTAGTAGAACTTTGTGGTCAGTCACCTTTAGTGAGAGAAGACTGCGTCTTAGTCTACATTTAATACATTAACTATAGTATTATAGGTAGTATAGTTATCAACAAATGTATTTATGAAATTAAAGTAATTCAAAAAGTTGTAAATTATTTTCATCCAAACTTGTTTTTTTTAAAGGCGTAATGATCAAAATTCAAGCTTAAGTGCCTTTCAAAAACTCGTGTTAAGTAAAAAAATAATATAAGCCATGTCTGAAGGTAAGTAATAAAATCAATAAATATTTAGTTTTATTAAGCGAGCGAGAATTATAATCATTGACGTATTGAGGAGCGGAGGTGTTCTGAATGAAAATTTATCTTATGAAATATCGTGTGAGTAGCTAATATGTTTTTTGTTAAATGTTTTGATGATAAAAAACTTTAAATGACTGAAATAGTAGAATATAAATATATGTAATATTTTATGTTCGTAATCGTTTTTATTAAAGTACAAGGGCGTCCGCAAACAATTTTCATGAAGGTTGGGTAAAATATTTTTTTAAAAATTTGGTTTCTCTGACCGATTAATAGACTCATAGGAGGGTTACTGGTACCTCGGTCAGTTAACTACGTTTTTATTGGAGGCCTTGTCATTGACATGACAATAAGGAGATCGCCCCCTTAGATAACGAATTTGCTTCTCAAAAAATATTAAAAATATATATATTATTATACACATGTATAATGTTTTGAGGGTAGAAGAAAATACAATTAGCGTCCTCAAAAATGTTATTCAAATAAGCATCTATGGGCCACGCAGAAAAAAAAATATAAATAAAAGATTTTTTGGTAGTTTTATGTCTTTATAAATTTAATAAATAAAAACCAAACTTACATGGCATTAATTTATAAAAAAAAACCAATACTATTTTAATCGTAGTATTCATAATATAATTTAATAAAATAAACATTTTTTTTATTTTTTAATTAAAAAAAAAACATTTTGCAAAATTTTATAATACATAATGATTTGAATATTGATCAAGCAAAAAGTCAAGGGACAACTATCCTTTTTGCTCCCCTGCGGACTCTCATGACAGAAAAAATTCTAAAAAAAGTTAACGTCAATATATACACTAAACGAATACCATAGTGGGGCTCATTTTAACAAGGAGATGTTATTTCATTAGAGATATTTTGTGCTTTAAATTTTAGTTGCTCTGTACCCTCCAGATGATTTTATTTATAAATAAATACATCAAATACATTGTGAAATGTCTGTCATTTCTTATTAACATAAATATTTATTCTTATTGTAATGTTTTTGCATGTCAATAGGTAGTAAATTTTAGTTGAAATTTGTATTTTTATGGATTAAAGACATGAGGTTAGATATTAATATTTAGACATTTGGTAATTTTATGATTTTTCTAAATTGATGTTACAAAAATACTAGTGTAATTTGTATAATAATAATTATTATTACACTTAAATATAATATTTTTTGTATAAGGTTAGTAGTTACAGTACATTAACTTATTCTTGTGAGAAATAATTACATTTTTTATGTACAAGCAATTAAATTAATTTCATTAAGGTGGCAAAAAATACAAAATTAAAACTAAACAAGGTACAAATTTTATAAATACATAAAACAAAGACGGAGTTGAATTATTGTATGAAAAAAATGTGTATGAATTAATCAAAAAAGTTAATTTTATTATTAATTTAAAATTCGAATGCATAAAACTGTTTGTACTATTAGATTTTGAATAAAAAATTTATTTTAAATGTTATTTTTAGAATAATATAATCCAAAAAAATGAATCATAACAACTTGTCCGAGTAATTATTTTTAATTGCGGTTATGGAGCTTGTAGAAGATCCTTGGGGTCGATATTGGACATAGTCTGGTTCTACTTGTCTCCAGTATGTAACAACATACCCTTAAGCGAGCAAGTTAAAAAATGTAGGTATTTATTTTGATTAAAAATATGGGTTAACTAAATATTTTATTATAAATATTTATATTTTTATTATAGCTTTGAATTAAAATTGAATAATTATTGTGGTCGTATTCGCAAACCGATGCAAAAGGTGCAGAGATGTAGTCCCGTGTCAGAGGAGTTTGTACTCGTTTACATATTGTCTTTTTTTAACAAATCAAGAAATGGTATTGGTGTTTATAAATATATTTAAGTGATGAAGAAATTAGATGTAGTGGCGACAAAAAAATTGAATACCCATCGACACTACATATAAGGTAACGCAAACTCAATTGTTTAGCAAAATAACTAATTATCATTTATCCAAACTACAATGAATTAAAAATTATATGCATTAAAAGCGAATAGGCTCAAATTGATAATGCATCGTTTTAAACAGGTTATCCGACAACCAGCAGGCAATAACTAATAAGTCTTAATACATAATTTACTCATAAAATAATCAAATCTTTTTTCGATACTATTCATAATATATGGCAGGTTTTCTTAGCGTTCGATGACCTCACCAGTAGAAAACTGTGTAATACACGTGGTTCCGCTAACAACTCCAATTGAGTTTTAACTTCCGGATAATCTATACTTCCGATGTGCTACTGTCTGTGTGAAACTTGGAGTAGTTATTTACTTACAAAACGATGTCCTTTAAGGTTTAACTTTCGAATTTACACTCATCGTAGTTTTCATTTCCTTGTGCTGTCAGCGCACCCAGTTGATGTATTTAAAAGGACCGTTTTTCGTCTATTTCGTATTTTAGTACTATAAAAAATTTAATAGTTAGCTTACAAAAAATAAAACAAATGAAATCGTTGGACACTAATTTTACGGTCCAATAAAATTCATTTTAGCTATTGTAATTATTACAATAGCTAAAATATTAATATTGTGTAAAATGTATAGGCGCAATTTCAACAAAATGTTTAGAGGGGCTTAATATATTTAACTTTTCCTAGAAATTATTTTTATATGACTATACATGTTATTTTTCTAAATTTTTAGAAATTTCCAAGCTCTTCAATTGAGTCTATGGTAAAATGTTTAAAATATTAACACATTTTAAGAAGTCAACGTGATAAGTTAAATAATTTATTTTTGTTTAACTATGCCTGGATAGTAATTTAATTTAAGTATAATTAAAATTCAGAAATATGTAACTAATGATTACAAAGTTCTTTAGTACTGATAAATAAATTCACTAGAGAGTGACAAATTGAAAAAAAAAAAAATGACTAATCAATTTTGATATTTGAAATATAACTAAAACTGTCAAATTAAAATTTATTAGAATTATAATTTATTAGAATAATTTGGGTATACATTTATTCGGATTTCAAAGCTTAACAGCTTTATTTTAATTTAATTTTTTTTTTTTGTACAAATCGAGTTTTCAGAAAACTCGTTGTATATTAAAATACACTGTTATTTTATTGAAAGCTAAAGCGATTTTCTTGATGGAAATTTTGCAACCATCAAAAACGTGAAATTTGTGTACATTTAAGAAACGGATTCTTTTTGTCGAAATCATGTCGGTTGGAATTCGTTAAAATGTCATAACGATTGATCCGGCTGGTAGTTTGGTAAATTTGTTAATTTTCTGATAAGTGTCACAAGAGGAGATGTATAATGATGACATCAACAGCAATAATGAAAAAGATAAGTAAATAAAAAATACGCACACTTGTTGCGGGGGTCACGAGAGGTTCGTTGACCGGACGCAGCTCACTTGAGCTATCGTCACACGCATACACATACAAAATGCGGCGGTCATATAACAATATTATTCGTGTGGCCGGCGGAGTATACATTGAAATATCACGAAGGAGGCGTGTTTTACTAGTTCCGAGTTCTCTTTCTATTATTATCATCGTCATATTATTATTATTACATTGTTAGCGCATGCATATTCTTATTTTCTTGTATTACTCCTCCGAACTACGGAGCGGTGACGAGTAAAAAGTTATCCGAGTATTACGAAAAAGACAACATCACAGCTCACCACAATCTTCGCCGTCGGGACATTTTCTCGGTGTATTGTTGTCGTCGTTATTATCGTTATTATGCTACCAGAACAATATTTGTATCGATTTTTCCTTTTTTTCTTTCTTTTCCTTTCTTCTTTTATTTCATGCGCGAAACAACACCCGTTCTTTGCACGGTGATGAATATCATTGTTGTCCCATTGTACGCGGCATGGGTTTCGCGGCTTTCTTTCGCACACTTGCCCCTAGGCCGGCGCAAGGACGCGGTCTTCGAACGACGCCCCGAATGATTGAAATTGCAAAAACATTCATTTATCTGTGTGTGTAGGCATGTCTTTACACAATGACGTAGTCGGCTTGTTCCCTGCAGTTTTCAATTAGTCGCGTTAATAGAATATACTCTTTCGACGTGATGTGTTTTAGTAGGTAAGTAATTTAAAAGAAACGGAAACTTTTAAGGATATGATACGACCTGAAATTTGTTCTTGAATTGTATTTTACGTATAATATATGCTGACAAAGCTAAAATAAACGTGATTTATTTAAGCGAAAAACATACAATGTTTTAACACTTGTATGTCAGCCATTGGGACTTCGAAAATAAAATATGAAAGAAGCCAGATAAGATTTCTTCCTAAACTAGTATAATTTTTGTTATTTATTACTTATTTTAATTGTCATAAACTTGTCGAAAACGATATAGTTGTGGTATGGCGTTAAGGTTTACTACTGTGTTGGATTTAGAGGTCTACAGTCAATTAGTAAAGAAATAAAAAATTTTTTTTTCTTTGAATAAGACCTCTAGAACTTTTCGTGGCAAGAGTTTAAACATTTATTAATTGATTTTGTAGGAGCATTTTTTAATCTTAATTATCTAAAAAAAGTCGAGTAGCAGGAACATTAACATCAAAAATGAATTAAACCGTAATTTGGGAACACATGAGATTAGAATATTTATTTAATTTTCTACAATATATTCTGTTTATTATATTTAAAGAGATTCAGAAGGTGCTATTTACGTTGGTTTTGCTGTAGAATTGATTTGAAAAACAAAAAATATATGTAAGAAGTATAAGTTGTATCCCTTGCATTTTAAAAGTCTCAAATTCTATACCGAGTTTATGGAGTTAATTTTTATCGTTTAATGTTCAATGTGCCGTTACTAATTTTCGTAAAGGTCTCTCTTATATATAACAAAAATTTTTAATTAATATGAGTAGGTTTGTAAAACGTTCATAAACTGTGTGCCACAGTTTATTTTTTACATCCTTCTTATATATTTTCTTTGTGCAGTCGAGTGCTGTTTGGTTAATTTTTGACGTTTCTGTCAATCATCAGTTACCGACTAAACGTAAATTATTTTGGTCGAAACCTGCAAATGACATGACCCACTTACCGTGTCCGCAGTGCACTTCATTAGATGTGTATTGTTAATGTACTCTAAGTCATCGGGTTATTACGACGGAAATTTTAGATGTTAGACGTTTTTAAAGCTTGTTAACAGAATTCCGTTAAGTTATTTATGGTGAACGGTGGATACGTAGGGGCAAATTCGGTTTACTTATGACGCACAACCTATTTTATCTATTGTTACTTCGAAAAATAGATATTATTCTTCTGTTTAAGAAAATAAATAATGTTTCATATGAGTTTTGATTGTCATGCGTAGCCAATCCCATCACTCATATTTAACCTATTAATGCACATTTAGTGTAATTAATGCACTACCCCAACTGTAGTTTTAACCGACTGTTAGTTTTTAACGAATTTTATATTTTGATTTTATCATTTACTGTAAGTAATAAGTAAGTGGTTTTGGATTGACCTGAAATGTTTTACTTACATTAAGAAATAATTAGTTAAAAATAATTATCAACTTTACACATTCGAGACAAACACCGAGGGGTCGGCCTGTCCTAGTGGGTAGGAACTTATGTTTCGGCGCACAGGGTCTCGGGTTCGATCCCCAGGGTGTCAACGCGATTTTTCTTGTGATTTTCTCATTGGTGGCGTCTGGTCTCTGGTGCAAGCCGGACCATGTTTCCCGTCCCGTCCATCATTGGACTCACCAAGAACAATCTTTGACTCCCTGTCACGTGAAAGAGGGCCACCCACACCTTCTGTAGCATTTTTAATTTCGGGAAATAAAAACATGTAAAACTGATAATTATTTTTTTCATTCGTGATAAGCATCGGGCACTATACCCCACTTGTTCTTTTAATGCGAGTTTGTGTATGTTTAAATGTCACTCAAAACGAAATTCTTTTATACAATACTTATAGAAATGAATAATACGTAGAATATATAATAATTTATTATCACAGACGTATTTAGTTATTATAACTTATGAATTATTTTGTATACGTGTACCTTTATTATTAAATTGAAATGAAAAAATTGAATAATAAAACAAAGTTTGAACAATACGCGAGTTTCTTTCTATATCATCTTTTACTTCATAGCTTATTCAACAGCTGCTGCATTGAGTTCCAGTGTTGATAATAAAAAAACAAAAATCGCAATAAAATTCTTTTGCACAATTACAATTACAGTTTTAATAACCAGATACTTAAGTTGGCTGTAATAAATTTTCCTGACTCATTGGGCCGGCGACAAGTTCCTATTGGCATAAACATTTATTTCGTTCAGATGACAAGCCGTGAGAACAAGTCTATTTGGGCGATGGTATTGATTACATATTTAAAAAACCGCATAGGATTTATACAATTTATCAGTCGACTTGGTGTAAATTATCATCATAAACAGCCGTCTACGAGCTACTAATTCTTTTAACTCATTTTTCAGACTCACAATGAACAAATAAAATATGACAACATTAACATAAGAAGTGACGATAGTGATAAACCGGTAGCCGTCGAAGATCAGCCCCCCGCTTGACTATAATAGATCGGAAACAAATCCACTTAGTGTTTCCTTGTCGGTGGGGTTCAACGACTGTTCAACAATCTGGTGAGGGACGTTCCACGAACCAGGAAAAGTCTGAGCTGTTGGTTCTGGTCAAAACGGTGACCCAGTGTCGAGGGAGGCCACACGCGCGCTCTCCTGCGCACGGATTATGTGTGTGAACGCGTCGACTGCGCAGTGGAGAAGCCGGCCAGCGTATATGGCCGAGGCCAACAACCTGACTAGTAGGTCACAGTGGCACGGCGCTCGGCCGTTCGGCCATTGACTCAAGTGACGTCACCAGTGTCCAACCCGCTGTGGTGGTACGCTGGCTCCCGCCCCGCACTCGGCCCTCTAGTGTCTATGTTTACGACTTAAACGTACCGTAATAATAATAACACCTATGTTATGGTAATATAAAATAATAGATAATAATTTATCATTTCTATTACCTACTTGTTTTATTGCATCTGTACTACTATAAGCATAATACCATACGGGCGCTGCCGTGCCGGTATGGAATGTCCAACGCGACGACCGCTGGTCCATCGCATTTTAGGCACGACAACAGTAATAGACGACGATCGTAACCGGAGAGTACGTCTCCTAGAGTGTGTTCTGTAGATGCGCATGGCTTACAGCAGACAGTTGTCTGTTGTGGGTCGATGTTCACTAGGAGAAACCAGCTGGGCCGTGCACGCATATATTGGCACCGTGCTGTTACGCTTTTCGGCAGGCCTAAAACAGTAGCGATTACTTATATTACAGGAGAGAACAGATGCTGAGCAGACGGGCACAACGATGATGTGATGTAATATATAATTAGCTCTATTATTACCATGCCGGCAATAAGACACACGACCGCGCACACTACCTAATTTATCAATATCTCGAATGCAGTAGCTTAATTAAAACATCATACATCAATTAAATACTTGAGAATTATCGTTATTTTTATTGTTTCAGAATCTCTCGGACAAGATTTCCCCAACCGTTTACGTCTTGGAACCTCATGTCCCGTTCACGTATTGTGGAAAGTTGTAAAGAACAATTAATCGTCATTACATTTACAACAAATTGTCTAGCAATTAGAAAAATAATTACCAGTAATTTTTATGAGCGATTATCGATTGCTAGAGATTATTTCAACTGAGAGCACTTCCGATTACTCGTGCTGAATAACTATCAGCATAGCGATGACGTTACACGTTAGAATATTGTATAAAAAATTAGTGCTAGTCACTCGGTGGGCTATTTCACTTGGAAAATATTAGGTTAGGTCATACGACAATGTCATGAAAAAATGAAAATATTTGTACATTTTTTCGTCAAAAGAACCATTAAAGAAGATTGGGCAATCAATAATAATATTTTTTTAACATTTCCGATAGGTGATTTACGAATATAGATATAGCACAAAAAACGTTATTTAACGATGCATCTATAGAGTTATGCACGTTCGCGACAGAGCGTTGAGGTCTCGACTACTTGGCAGAATCGACGGCAAGTATTTATTTTCAACAAGTATCCTAATACTGTATTTTTCCTCATCCAATATTATTTATAGTAATTTACCTAATGTTGTATTTCTAATAAAATTCTTAATGAAATAAATTTGAAGTTATTTAATACTGGAGAAGCATCAGTTCTTAACAAATAACCTATTTTGGCGGAAAATGTTAGGGAACACACTTCAACGTCACTCTGTTGTGTTCGATATACATTCATGCGCACGTTGAAATTTTGATCTTACAATTTGGTTTAACGAAATATTCAGAAATGACTTAGCAAGAAAAAACGTTAAATATATCGAAAAAGTAAAAAGTCAGATACATTTGACTTATCCGAAAATATTTTTTTAATTCGATGTGAAAAATTTTTTGTTGCTTTATGATATCGGAACTATGACCTCGTGCGCCGCAGTGAATTTGTGATCACTTCGCAATTGTATAGCATTAATTAAAAATTACTACACATTTTTTAACATAAAAATTATACAAATGTCTTGCACCTGTTTCTAAATCAACGTGTATATGGTAATAACAGTGTAATACACAATAGCCAATGTATTTATTATTCTAAAGGTCATATTTATGGTTTTATGACGATTTTTTTCAGTAAGTGCATTTAACCATATAGAAGATATTTTGTACATGTTGTGTTATGATAAGTGACGGTTTTAGTGCAGTGGACATTTACATGGGAACTAAATATTTTATTTATTATACAAATAACGACGTTTTTTATACACACTGGTAATAAATAATTTTTGGTTACTTTATAACCAACCGAGTGGTATAAAAATATTGTATACATAATGGAAACAAGCAATAAAATCAAATAATTAATGAGGGTTAAAAAAAAACTACTGAAAGTATTTAACAAATGATAAAAGTAGTCCATTTATTCAGAATAATAAAATGACACATTTGCATTTTACGAGCAGTTAAACATGTTGACAAAAAAAGAAATATCATAATTGAATATAACGGAAAGCGGACGAAGCCTGATCACTAAAATTAATTAAATTGTTTATGGCCAATAGAACACATGTGACTGGATTAAACATTTGTATTATTTACCGGGAGTTTCGTATTTTTTTTTTTATGTTCCAAGTTATCGGTTTTGAAATAAAAATTTGAATAAAAAAAAAAAATTTTCATTAGAAACTCTTGAAAATCATTCCTAAAGAATTGCCAAACAATTAAAATATAAAGAATATTATTCTATTTAAAATAATCATCTCCTATTTTTTACTTGTACGAATATCAGCTGAACAACTGTCTCTTCCTTTACATCCTGGCTAGGCTATTAAATTACATTTTTAAGTGAATAAAAAAAATTAATAATAATCACCGTTCCCATAATGTAGCTGATTCATCGTCCATCGTCTGTGCTCCAGTAGGTAGAGATTGTAAGACGCCGTAGTCGCTATTATTGTACAACGTGGCAATATAACATAATACACACCCGCGACGTCATCGCAGCGATTCACATGGCGTAGGGTGGAGATAGGGTTAAAATGGAATGAGAAGAACATCACGGGTAAAGGGTTAATAATATTGCCGTCTGTTACAAGGGTGGTGGCGGGTTCGCGAGCAGGTACGTGCCATTTGCAGTGCGTTTACCTGAGCGCGGTCCCGTAATCTGGGGGACCCGTCAAACTTCCGCGTTCCCTTTCATCGTGGGAACACCGCAACAAGACTATCGTTGCGTTTAATCAAGACCCCGCCACACCCCCACTGGCGAACATTTTTTTATTGGTTTTTTATCCATTTTTTATACGGTGCAATCAAAAGAGCGAGAGAGACGACGCGGGGCAGAGAAAAACGCCGTAGTATTCTTCACTGAACACCTGTTTTTTTTTTTTTAATACGAACGTGTATTTTTTTACACTTTGATAATGGGATCAGACATTTATCTATCTCTGGTTACTTCCTTGTATAAGGGTTTGCATGAGAACAATCGATTAAGCATCCGCGAAACGGTACCTCACTAGTCATAAGCAATATTTTATTTCGATGAGCTAGTATGCTCACACGAGTTTATTGAACACATTCACAAGGTACTTGATATAATATTTGAACAGTAAAAAAAAAAAAAAAAATCGTTTCCTCAAATCTAATAACGCAAGAAATGCACTTGAAACGTGTTTTTTTTTTTACTAAAAATCTTGTACTAGAAGAACAATATTTATATTCGGCTGCATATTTTGTAACTGAGAAGATAATTTTATTAACATTTTAAAAATTATTTTTTGTAATTCTACCCTTATACAGTTTAACGGTAGCATTATACAGACATTTATGTTATTCGTTCAATAAATCCAGAATATTGTCCAATTCATTTTGACTTATTATAATTGGTAATAATTTTCTTTTATATTTTCATGTACTACAATGATGTATTTAGGAGAAATCCTGGCCGTGTCTGTGCATATTAATTTACTACAAATACGCTTATACATCTACAGAATAAATATAATTATGATCCAATAGTTTCGTCTATAGTCAATATTGTTTGATAACTGGAACCATTAGAGTAACGTATTACAATGTGTTATAACGATAAGGCATTCCAAAGAACTTAAAGCATTATTCATAAATCTTGTCAATAAAATTATTTAGAAAATAAAATAATTTATTACGTTTAATGTGGAATAAACTTAAGTGAACCTGGAAAATAAATTATTAAATATATTTTTTTTATATTATATTAAAATTTTCGACACATTATTAATAAGTTGGCTTTCAAATCAATAGTATTTGTCCTCATAAGGACACTTAAAATGAAAAAGAAATTTTTTTCTGTAGTACAAAACGTTTTATACACGTAAAAACAAATAAATATATATATATATGCATATAAATTATATTCGCGTGGCAACAAAACGAGATATTTTTAATTTATATGGCACTGTGTTAGTGAATTCATAATAAGTTAGTATTTGTTGTTTTTTATTCACAAATACCCACTAAGAATATTAAATAGATGCCAGATCTTTAATATTTATAGTGTAAAGGTTTAGTGGAGCTTATTGGCTAAATAATTAATATTGTAGTTTTTTTGTACATTTTTCACTAACTAATATAGAAAATACAATTGTCTACCGGTTATTTTTTACTATTTCAATATAAAATTGTAATTTTATCGTATGTAGTTTTTCAAGATTTTCATGTGTATAATTTATGAAACATTTTATTTTAGTGCATTCGAGTTTTATGCAAATGCTTTTTCAAACATGTAGTCACATTACATAGCGTGTTCAATGTAATGTGGTACTAATACTTATGTATTAATGGCAAAGTGACTTCATAAAACCATTTTGATTTTTACATAAAAAACGTTCCAGAGTATTTGGTGTTTTTTTGTGGGCTTGAGAAATCAGTAGGATTTCAATAGGATTTTTATTGAAATCGTTTTTATTTATTGTGCGGTCGATTGATTGTTGTGGTTTTAGTGTACAAGTTTACCCTTTTTATAAGCTAATGATATTTTGTCGCGTGATTCCAAAAGAAGCTAATAATTTCCCTTCAGCACTTCACAACACCAAAAAAGGTTTGCATACACGGCACTGCAGTAATGTGCGGCTTAACAGGCTATGTGTAAACCCTCTGCATGCAATGAACCAGGAAGCCACCCTTGTACACAAGGAATAATAGTAATGATAATAATAATAACACAACCGGTTCGAAGACGCGTTTTTTCACCCACGCATATATATACACACACAATCGTGTATAATGAATAGTAAAAAAAAAAAACCGTGGTCCGAAACGGGCAGAACACATACAGCAAGTTTTTTATGCATTTCGTTTCCTTTCCCACACCGGTTTTTTAAGGGGCTTCTTATAAACCAAAGCCACCCGGCTCCAAAATCTACACATACACACGCACAAACCAATACACTATGCCTATTGATGAAGCAGTTTTACGACATAAGAAAATAGATAACTACAAAAAAATATATATTAACTAACAGCTGAAAGGGGCATATTATTGTTTGGGTGTATCTGATTTCTGTCTGTCCATCTGTCTTCCGTATAATGTGTTGTATAAAAAACGATAGCGATGAACCGTATACGCAATGGATCACAATATTTTATTTGACAAAAACAATTGCAAATTTATTGAACTGGATAAAAGTTAAATCGTTCATAACTGATTTGTCACAAATTAGTAATTTATACAATCCTAATGTAAAAAAGTACTTTGAAGCAATCATTATAAATAAGACATTTTTAAATGACAAATATGTGTAAATTTATTTATTAATATCAATTAAATTAATTTTTTTAGTTAATAAAAAGAGTATTTTTCAAAGTAAAAAATATAATTCAATTTTATTGATCAAGACCAAAAGTTTAAATGAAACAATTTTCTTTTTTAATGAATAATTATCCCCGACAATGCTAATGTGGAAGGGTTAAGGAGTCAGATTATTCATTGGTCACAATAATCGTTACCTGGTTGCATAAGTTTTCATACAAATTGTGAAAACAATATTAGAGTCGTGTATAATATTGCATTATTAGCATGTTTCATTAGCCTAACTTGGTGTTTCTTTTATTATTGATCTCTCGTAGAAACCATAAAAAGTGTAGGTCGAACATGTGTTATTTTTTTATAATTAATAGCGTGCAAATTATTTGTGTTAATACTAGATTAATTTTCTTGATAATTTTGTATTTCAACTATTTATTAGTATGAAAACATTATATTGACATACCTGTATTATTATTATAAAACTATGTACGTGCTATTTATTAAGGGAAAGTTAATTACTAAAAGTATTCCCGCCGGGAATCTAAATTAAATTATAATAAACATAAATTTGTCTAATTTTAACACCTAATCATAATATTTTTCTTATTAAATTCTAGAAATTTTGCTTATTAATGATATACCAGGAGCATAAGTGTATACTTAATTAAACTAGTGTCTATACATGCGAAGCTTTTTAAATCATATTTTTTGAGAAACTAATCAGCATTTTATTAAGCTGAAAATAATGATTCAATTTAATTAAATAATATAAACGTGTAAAACTCCAGAAGATTTCAATACAATTCGAGATAACGAAAAATTCAAAATAGTTAAGTTTGACACAAGAATAATCTACAGAACTACGTTAATTTTTGTATTAAATAAATTGTATCAGACATTTATAAAATAATTAATAAAGTAATAAAACATAATAAAATGATTTAGTTATAATAGAATAATTATTATGATAACTGTCTATAACACATTCATAAAGTGTATTCTTCAAATACACATATCAACGATAAAAGTACATTTTCAGAAAATATCTGTTTATATCTAATGTGTAATTCCATATAATATGGTCAGAGTGATTCATAATTGTTAGAGGATGTTCGAAATGGTTACATTAAATTGGGTTAAGGACGCCACGTTCATATAGTTGCTCACACAATCGAAGAAATCACGAATGCAATAATTACACAAAAGTCAAAACCTGTGTTATTCTAGGTAATTTTTTTATTATATGTTGTATTTTTTAGTTGATTCGAGTTTTTATACTCGGAGAAAGTTCTGCAGAAGAAAGTGCCAAACGATTAGTGAAAACATCATACTTATAATGTTATTTAATTTAGAAAGTGATAGCGTATGAAAGTGAAATGATAAAAGTAAAAACATTGAGAATGTTATATTAAACAATACTAATCAAAATTCGAAACGCTTGTTTTTGCAGCCAAAAATGTCAAAATCGATTTTATGATTAAAGTAGAATTTCTTAATTTGGAATTTAGTAACATATGTGTTAAATTGACACATTTAAATTCTTTTTTGAAGATATCGATTCAAAATAATGTACACTCTAAGAAACAGGGAATAACTAAGGAGTAATTACGATATTTTTTTAAAAATGTTTAGTTACTACGATATTATAAAAAATTCTTTAATTTGATAAATACTTAAAATGAATCACTGAAGTTAATTGGCTTTGAATGCCTCAATTATACAAACTAGAGTATCTAACTTAATTAAAACAATTTTTATTAACTTATTTTAAATTATTTTGAATTACTAAAGATGTTATAAAAAAAATAGTTGAATTTACAAATTAACATTCATATTTGATCTAATGAAATTTTC